GTGTGTGTGTGTGTGTGTGTGTGTGTGTGTGTGTGTGTGTGTGTGTGTGTGCACATACAGGTATTTTGTGACATATGGGGACCATTTTAGGACAAGACACCTACATGTGGGGACCACTGGTACATACTGAGTCCCCATTTGGTTTAAATACCATTGGTGGGTTGGGGGTTGGGTTTAGGACCAAGGTGTGAATTGAGTTTAGGTTTAGTGTCAGGTCAGGTTAGTGTCCTAACCCTAACCTTAACCTGTGAGGTTAGGGGTAGGGTAGGGGTTCAGGGTTAGGTTGTAGAACTATTTAGTACTAATGGAGGTCAATGGAATGTCCACACATACGTATAGGTGGACACAGCTGTGTGTGTTGGGGGGGGGGGGGGGGTGTTAACAGCAGCTGAGAGCTTTAAAAAGAGATTTCATTTAAATCATCCTGACAATCATTAACACCTGTTACCTAGAGCGTTAATAAGATTAAATGGGAACTGGCAGTGCACACCAGTACATCTGTCTTTGAGTATTTATTGCAGAACCCACTGCCACTGCTGATGAAGTCATTGTAATGCAGAGGAAGCACTAAAGCATGCTCTGTCCTTTTTCTTGTTTTCAGCCASTCCACAGATCACTGCAACACAACTCTTATGACTCGAAACACTCCTGATTTTATAACTGCGTTGTTTGTGCTTAAACACTATGTTGGTGTTTATCATGTGGCTGAATTAATTTCATTAAGCCCGTGTGCACRATATTGAACAGGCAATGAAATAAAACAGTTTAATTAGGTTTTAGAGGCACTTTGTGAACATTTGATTTTTGTGTGCAGCTGTGTGATTTCTCCTGTGAGCGTGTTTGTGTGGAAGTGTGAGGACGCTGTGCATTGTACGTGTGCAGGAGCGGGAAGCCTGGAACAGTGTGCCCAAGACAGGATGATCACTGGCTGTATGTGAAGCTACAAAGTGAATGTGAGATAAAAAATCTGCGGAGGTGTGAGAAGCCTCAGAAAAGAGTCCAAAAATAAAGTTGTCTCTGTGAAATAAAAAAAAATCAAATGATCAGCTTCAACCAAACAAAACTAGCTTTTTGTACAATCATAAAAAATACAAAACACTGAGGTTTAGTGGCTCAGATTTAGTCCCACGGCTTAAAAAAATGCTAATTTGTCTGGTGGACCCTGACACTTGGAAATAGGCATCAGCTCAAGAAAAGAAATGAATAGACGGATGGATTGAAGTTGTAATTTTCTCAACTGATTTTGTAACTCAGGATCATGACATTAACAGCCACTCCGAAGACAAAGTGGCAAATTAGTTATGCTGACTGAAAACAATTTTCAGGATACAATAGTTGTGTCGCCTTTTCAGCGGTGATAACTGTCATGCCAGATGTTTAGACTAAGATAATCATATCTTAAAAACAATGATTTATAAAACTGACTTTTTGGTCCATTAAAAAAAATTAACAGTTTGCACAATAACACRCAATATCACAAGATTTTGCACTACTTGTAACACTTGGATTATGTCCTGAGAATAACCCTCAGCTACCACCACAGCTACTGTATTTCCAAGTTTGATAGTCATGACGGCCATCTTGAGTTAAGTTATTGCAAAAAGGTTTTAAGCTGCAGATAAATGATTAATTATTTTAAGGTTTTCAATGAAATACATCCAGTGGTTTAWAAGGTACTTTGATAACAAACACACACAGGCATTCACAAGCTTGCCTGCCTTTTGTGCAGAATCACCTCAAATGAGTGTAAAAACATTTACAATTCTTAAATGTCACAAAAATATTTCCCTTTTCAAAATAAACTGCAACACTATRAAGTGCGTGTAAATTATTGAGGTGAGCAGCTTTTACTCAGAAATAGTTGAAATAATTTATGTAAATCATAAGAGAATGTTAATAAAWAATACATTTAAGTAATTGACTGATACAGAATTAGAATTTGAGTCAAATCRGAGTCACCGGCTTGTTGAAGTTCATCTTGTGGAGCTGCTCTTTGACCTCCTGGCACTGGTGTTGAGGGTGAACACTACGATGTTCAGGATCAGAAGAGATGAGTCCTAAAGGATGAGAGAAAACCTTTAATCTCACAGAAAGACTGAAGGTCACTTTCTTTGGCTTCCCTCCTTAACCYCCTAAAATTATTGGCCTGTCATGTTTTGGCAGAATTGACGTTTTTAGCCAAGGTCATCTCCTTGTGATGCTGACCASGTTGGTAAAGCACCTACTGTACACCCTCACTTGATCAAATCATTTGATTCCATCCTTTCAAAGTAGTGGCCTGTGTGTGACTAAAAGGAGACATAGAGTAACATGCTTTTAGATATTTATTTTTCTCATTTAAATTGTTCAGTTTATGTCTTTATAAAGTAGAACTGCAATGTTTTGGGCAGAACTCCTC